GACGTCATTGGCTGTGGCTACAATTATAAAACGCGGGCTTGTTTTTTTACAAAGAATGGGAAAAAGCTATGTGAAGTCAAATTTCCCGCTTTAATATTGACTGCAGTGGTTACAATCGACTTCATCAATAAAGTCGAGATCAACTATGGAAATGAACGGCCTTTTGTGTTTGACTTGGACAAAGAATACAATTCAAACAACTTTTTCCACCAGAACTGTTCGATTGTATAATTATTGTTATTTAGTTGTCACACCTATTTATCTGTATAAAGCAGTATATTTTGTTATAATCATTATACATGTTAGATTTAACACTTTACACATTAATAATTCATTTTTATAATAAATTAAGTTGAAATATTTAAAGTTGTTACTTTTTACTATTCTTAATACTGTGATGGTGATTAATAATAAATGTATTATTTAATATAAAATCTCCTGATAAAAAAGAATTCTGAGGTTTTGTTTTTGGCGTGGTTAGACAAAAGTTGTATAAAAACTATTATCTTTTGTAAAAAATATTATTAAAAATTAATTAAATGGTGCTTTTGTCTAACCAAGTTTTAAGATGTAGAGAGTATGAGGTTTAGACAAGATTCATAGTTTACCAAATAAAAATAATGACAACTTGTAAAATTATACAAATAATGTCGAAAAGTACACGTTACTCGAAGAAGAACAAGGGAAAAAAGTTACAGAGAGCACAAGAGGAAAAAGTCCAGGTCGATGTGAAGCCGAAAGAAATTGAGACATTCGATTTTTGTGGGTTTAAAGTGCCAAAGAAATATGAAGGAAAGTTGGAGAGGAAGCCGAGCGAGTTGGTCATTAAAAAGGATTTTGTGGAAGGAATGAAACAAGACGCAAAAATATACTGTAATGACGACTTGCTTGAACTGCTTGCTGGAGAACTTTGCAATGATGCCTTGAACAACTTCCCTTCATGCGTCAGACAGACAGCAAATGTTGCAACACTTCCGGGGATTGTGGGATCTATGGCGATGCCAGACGCACATAGTGGTTATGGATTTTCGATTGGAGGCGTTGCTGCTATGCGTCTTGATGAACCTGAGGCAGTCATCTGCCCGGGTGGTGTTGGTTTTGATATCAACTGTGGTGTCCGCCTCATCCGCACCAATTTGACCAAAAGAGACATTGAACCACACAAAGTTCGGTTGGCTGATGCGCTTTTTAAGAAAGTTCCGAGTGGTGTTGGCACTAAGGCATCGATTGATTTTAAGGAAGAAGATTTTGACAAGTTGTTAACTGGAGGATTGGAGTATATGGTGGAGCAAGGATATGCCTGGGAAGAGGATTTAAAGCACTGTGAGGAAGGTGGGAAGATTGCAGGTGCCGACCCATCATTAGTTTCGAAAGTGGCAAAGAGTAGAGGACATCAACAAGTTGGAACACTTGGGAGTGGAAATCACTACTTGGAGGTGCAGACTGTCGATGAGATTTTTGACGCCGAAGCTGCAAAAGCAATGGGAATTACAGAAGTTGGGCAAGTCTGTGTTATGGTCCATTGTGGGAGCAGAGGACTTGGGCATCAAGTATGTCAAGACTATGTTGCAATCTCAATGAAGAAGGGGCATAGTAATCCTGTTGATAAGCAATTGACTGGGGTTCCTTTCAACAGTGAAGATGGACAAAAATATTTCAGCGCGATGAACTGCTGCGCCAACTTTGCATTTGCGAATAGAGGAATGATCACATATCAAATCAGAGAAGCGTTTGAGAACATCATGGGTATAAAAGCCAAAAAAATGGGAATGGGGTTAGTGTATGATGTGTGTCATAACATTGCAAAAGTCGAGGAGCATGAAATCGAGGGCAAAAAAGTTAAGTGCGTCATTCACAGAAAAGGAGCAACTCGAGCCTTTCCACCAAACCACCCCGTCCTTCCTGAAGACTACAAGATGATTGGGCAACCAGCAATAATCGGAGGGAGTATGGGAACATGTTCATATGTTTTGGTTGGTACACAGAAAGGGATGGAGAACTCATTTGGGAGTACGTGTCATGGAGCTGGGAGAAGAATGAGCCGAGTTGGTGCGATGAAAACAGTCACATCAAACGAAGTCATCAAAAGAATGAAAGAAATGGGCATTGAGTTGAGAATCACCGACCCCAAGTTGGCTGCCGAAGAGGCCGACGAGGCTTACAAAGACGTCACTGAAGTTGTGGAGACATGCCAAGCCGCAGGAATTTCAAAAATTGTCATGAGACTTAAACCAATGATAGTCGTTAAAGGATAATACATTTAAATCAAATGATTTCAATCTTGTTACTTTTTGGTTAATTGGATTTATTTTTTTACTTCATAAATATTTTTTATAATTCAAATTATTTGAGTTATTCACTGATTTGTTTTTTTTCTTTTATTATTAAAAATTGTTCAATATATTTTAAATTATATTTTTAATACAATAATTAATAACAAGAAAAAAATATTGAATATAAATTATAAACAAATTAACATATATAATACTGTTTAAAAAATACTTGAATAATAGTGGGAAAAATAAAGTAAAGTCATTCTTAAAACCGTGCAACTTTGACGTGTCAGTGTAACTTTGTTTATAGTATAATTATAATAAAATAATTATATATTTTTATTGAACAAAACAAGAAAACACAAACCAATTTCTTTAAAACTCTTACTCTAATTAAAATACTATAACTAAACTATAACTAAATTTGCACAATTTTTCTCAATTATTTTTTTGAGTTGCACTATTCAATTGTCTTTTGTTTACCTAATTTTGCAGCGAGAAGGTTCTTGAATCACATTAGTTGGCTTGTCTTGTTTTTTTCGTTTTATAAACGAGATGTTTAACATTTGCGCCATCCACAATCAATATACAACACTGTTTTATTCGTTCTGTACGACAATTAAAATTCTGGATTTTTAATATTTTTCATTTAAACAAGCAGCTGGATTTATCATTTAAATATCGAGTTATAATCTGTGTTAATTTATAACCTAATTTAACTTTTTGTTTTTAATTTTGTTATTGTTCAAAAAAAGAATTTCACCTTTGTTGTAAAAAACAAAGAAAATATAAATTTGAAGACTTATTCTGAATGACTCTATATATATTTATTTAATATTTAAACTCAATAATACAAACTGATACTTCCTCATGTCTAGAGCTGACCACACAATAATAAAGAACGTCGTTTTTTATCTTGAATCAATGCGTGACTTGTGCCAATTTGTTAAGATAAACAAACACACTCGAATGCTAATAAACACAATAAATTATTGTCCTATCAAACTGCTATCGAAAGAGTTACCTGAAGTATTAATGTACTATTTTCCATCTACAAAAGCAATGTGTGTCAATCTTTTAAATTCCACCCTTCCAAAACAAATAATTGAAAAAGTCCAATGTATTGAAATTGACTACTTTGACCACGACAAAACTACCAATGTGTTCAAAAGTCATGAAACTCTTTTGGAAAAGAAGAACACATTACAAAAAGTTTACAAACTGAAAATCACAATGGACTACTTTGAAACGTTTGCAGCAAACATTTTATTATACACACATTTGTGTGTGTTGTACATTAACGGAATTAACTCGACAACACATCTCAATAGTAATTTACTTGAATGCATTTCAAAAAATACATTAAAGAAAGTCATAGTATGTGATGGGGTGGACAGACTCCTTTCTATTTTAACAATTTTCCCGTTCAACAAACACAAACAAATTATGTACTTTTTCATTATGACAAATACCACAAAACATGGAGATCCTCCAGACTTTACATTACTCAAAAACACCCCACAAAACCTCAAAGTTTGGACAACCTTTATATCAAAACAAACAATAGAAAATCGAATTGCTTATTTACCAATACAAGGGATGTTTGATCCTTATTATAATGGAGGAATCACAATTTTAAAAGACGTGAACGGGCATGAGAGAACTATTGACAGTGAAGTTTTTCGGTGTTGTGAAGACAAAATTAATATTGAATGGTACCACAAAGAAATTTTTGATTTGTGGGGTTACAGCGACAAAAGAGGAGATGAGATGAAAGAGCAAATCAATGATGAAATGAAGTCGCTTAATTTCAGCGACACACAAAATATACATCAAATAAAAGTATCTGAAATTGCAAAATGCACTGTTAAAATGCCCAAAACCGCAAATGTAATTGAAATATCATGTGTATCAGAAAAGATGGATTTGAATGGTTGTAAACCTGAAACGATAGAAGTGTATAATTACACTGGAGAAAGTCTGATTATTAATGATCAAAATTTGAAGAGATATGTTTCAGGTGGAAATTTTACAAAAATGCCGAAGTGGGTTCACAACGGTATTATCAACAATAATAAATATGTCATTGATATAAATACAATTGAACACTTCTACGTAAATGACATTGGGCGAATGAATGTCTTTGAAATAACACAAGGAAGTAAAAAAGTGACTCTTTTGGATTCAAAACAATTTTTGTGGGATAAGGAAAAGCGGAAAATCTATTTGAAAGGAGCTGAAGGACGAATAGATCTGTCTGAAATAGAGTTACACAAAGTGTGGTGTAAACGAGGAGAGAATGAGACTGAAAATATGTTTGAACCAACCCTCGTTTTAGGAGATGTTTGGAAAGTTGATATCACCGACGAGGTATTCAATGAGATTCATTTAGGAATTATTGAAGAACTCACTCTAATCAATGTAAATGCTAAAAAACTCGAGGTTTCCCAATTAAAACAGGTTGTTGGCTGGAACTCTAATTTTGGCGCTTACACTATTAGTACACTGACTCAACAATAAGAATAGAAACACATCTTTGGTAAATTACTTTTATTTTGTAATTTTCCTTATTTCGAAAAATACGTTTAATATTACAATTTTTATTTTTACTAAATTTATCGAACATTTGAGTATTATAACGGTTTAATACAATTTATAAACAAAATGTTTGTCTCAAATATTAAAAAATAAAATGAATGACTTAGAAGCACTTTCTGTGGACGATGGCTGGGCCAGACTCGTCGTACTCTTCCTTGGTGATCCACATGTTCTGGAAAG